CTCGGACCACTTTTGGAGGTTCAGATGTCGAAAAAGTGTCGAAAAAGTGCACGCCGTTGTGGCGCGAAGCACATTTCGAAGTCAAAAGTGTAAAAAACTGATGGTTTTGAGCCTTTTTTGACGTGAAGATGTCGAAAAAGTAGACACTGATTAACTTAACTAACTTGACTAACTTAACTAACTTCACTAACTTAACTACCCTAACTTCGACGACAACAGCAACAGCAACAGCAACAGCAACAGCAACAACAACAACAACAACAACACCAACACCAACACCAACACCAACCACAACAACTACAACTACAACTACAACAACAATAGATCGATAGATGGAGAGATAGATAGATAGATAGATAGATAGATAGATAGACAGATAGATAGATAGATGGATAGATAGATAGACAGATCGACAGACAGATAGATAGATAGATAGGCAGATAGATAGATAGATAGATAGAAAGATAGATAGATAGATAGATAGATAGACAGATGAAAGGGAGAGAGAGAGATAGATAGATAGATAGATAGATAGATATAGATAGATAGGTAGATAGGTAGATAGATAGGTAGATAGGTAGATAGATAGGTAGATAGGTAGATAGGTAATTAGATAAAAGAGAGAAAGAGAGAGATAGATAGATCGATAGATAGATAGATACATAGAAGATAGGCTGGTAGGTAAGTAGATAGTCAGAGAAAGAGAGAGAAAGAGAGGAGACCTCAAGCACCTTTCGGTCCATCAGTGGCTTCGCCCTGCCATTCCTCATTCACAACAACCAAGCTCTCCTATAGGTTTCCTATTTTTGAAACTTCCGCCACCGCCTTGTGCGGTACTACTGGTAGACAGTATATGTTGTAATCGACCTGCAACTTTATAAAGAGTCTTGAAAATAGTTCGCACGGATTGAGTGTGTCGATTTGATGTGGCTTGGACTTAGCCTGAAAGGAAAATACCGCTTCTTGATGCTTCTTGTATATCTTTGGATGCGTGGATCTTGATGGGTCGCTGTTTTTTCTTGCAACAACTCGCATTCAGGACTCATTCAGGACCCACGGAGCATTGAACATCCATCTCGGCAGGTTGCCTGTCTGTGACTTGTAAAGTTTGACTTGTAAAGTTGTCTGTGAGGGGTTGCACTCAAATTGCATGGAAACCCACCACCCTTATCGGACTCTTCACGCTCTTCAGGGCCTTTGAGATGGTGTTGACCCACAGTTCCCTCAGCGCGTCCACATGCGACCACCATAATTCTTTGCGACAATGACATGCTTTCATATCTTTCATGACAAAAACTCAGCATTCAAACCCCTGCCGAGAATCTGGGGATTGATGCCGCCCTTCACCAGTCGCTTAGCTATTGCCTGGACAGTTCTGAGTTGTAAAGTCTATTGTGATCGAAATGCAAAGAAACATATATCTTTGGTGTCATCAGGTTCATCACAGGACAAGCTTCAGGAAACACCTCTCATCCTCTCACATGCGGCCAAGCTATGCCAAGCTGCCATAGTACTCACTGCACCGACTGTACCCAAGGCAGACTCTGGCTTCTCCAGGTTCGCCAAGGTAAGTTCGGATGGGTCGGTACTTGCACCCAAGAGGTGCTGAACCTGGAAGCGACGCATAGGAGACGCTGCTTCAGACTGCCGTCGCTGTGGATTCTCCGCTAATGAAGCTCCGTGCTGTTCTCAATTGAGTTCCCCACTGGCAATGTGGAAAACATATACACTGACCTTGACCCGGAAATGATGCAGCCAATGTACTAGTAATGTACTGCGGTGCCGGATCTTCAAAGCTTGCAATATTTTGCATCAGTGTCTTGATATATCCCCTAGATTTCTTTACATTTGTTCATTCATGCTTTTGCTGCTTCCACTGCCAAGTGACGCCGCCCACGAGCCACCTGACACAGAACTGATGGCATCGACATACCTCGCAAAACGCAGAAAGGAAACTGGGGCGCAACACTTTTGATATCGTTGAAATCTGGGGAACATTATGATATACATACATGCTCCAATGATGCACTGTAAAATGTACGTAAGCTTCTTAATGCTTACCAGTAGTACCGCACAAGGCGGTGGCGGAAGTTTCAAAAATAGGAAACCTATAGGAGACGTTGGTTGTTGTGAATCAGGGATGGCAGAGCGATGCCACTGATTGACCGAAAGGTGGTTGGAGTTGTGTTTGCTGGAGTGGTTGCAATGGTTGCAGTGGTCACCTCTTCCTCACCTGCTGGATGTAGTGCGATGTACTGCAACTGTAGTTGTAGTTGTAGCGTAGTGGAGTTGTAGTTGCGGTGTAATGTAATTAGTGTAGTGTAGTTGCAGTCATATAGTTGTAGCTGTAGTTGTTTTGTAGTTGTAGTTGTAGTTGTTGTAGTTGTTGTTGTAGTTGTAGCTGTAGTTGTTGTGTGGTTGTAGTTGTTGTGTAGTGTAGTAGTGTAGTAGTAGTAGTGTTGTTGTTGTAGTTGTAGTTGTAGTTGTTGTTGTTGTTGTAGTTGTTGTAGTTGTTGTAGTTGTAGTTCTAGTTGTAGTTGTTGTTGTTGTGTAGTTGTTGTAGTTGTAGTTGTTGTAGTTGTAGTTGTTGTGGTTGGTGTTGTTGTTGTTGTTGTTGTTGTTGCTGTTGCTGTTGCTGTTGCTGTTGTCGTCGAAGTTAGGGTAGTTAAGTTAGTGAAGTTAGTTAAGTTAGTCAAGTTAGTTAAGTTAATCAGTGTCTACTTTTTCGACATCTTCACGTCAAAAAAGGCTCAAAACCCTCAGTTTTTTACACTTTTGACTTCGAAATGTGCTTCGCGCCACAACGGCGTGCACTTTTTCGACACTTTTTCGACATCTGAACCTCCAAAAGTGGTCCGAGACCGTCAGTTTTTAACACTTTTGACTTGGAAATGTGCTTCGCGCCACAACGGCGTGCACTTTTTCGACATCTCAACTTCCAAAAGTGGTCCGAACCTGGTGTGTTTTGTACATTTTGACTTGGAAATGTGCTTCGCGCCACAACGGCGTGCACTTTTTCGACATCTCAACTTCCAAAAGTGGTCCGAACCTGGTGTGTTTTGTACATTTTGACTTGGAAATGTGCTTCGCGCCACACGGCGTGCACTTTTTCGACATCTCAACTTCCAAAAGTGGTCCGACGCTGGTGTGTTTTGTACATTTTGACTTGCAAATGTGCTTCGCGCCACAACGGCGTGCACTTTTTCATCTCTCATCTGGCCAGCTGGCTCCGCACCCGCCGCTTTAGCGAGCCTACTTTTCCACCCTCCGGAGCCCCAAATCATTGGAAAAACACAGTGTTTCGCGACTTTCCTACCTTTTCGCGCATCTGCATCTTCTTTCTTCTGACTCTTTCTCTTCTGACTATTCTCACCTCTGCTTTTCAACTGTCCATATTGTCGGAAGTTTCACTTCTAAACTTCCTTCGATTATATATTCAAATTTTGCTTAAGTTTGAAGACAGCAAGACGGAGCTAAAGGAGGCATCTGCATCAATGAAGCCAATGGGAAGCAAACAACCAAGCCGACAGTATCAATCAACATGTCACAGGACAAGAGAAAAAGCAAAAACGTCCTTGCCCTCCAAACGAAATGACACGCACACAGCAGGCACACAGCAGGCACACCCACACACATTGAACGTGATATAATTAACGTGATCCATCATGTCACAATGCGATCCTGATGTTGCACTACAGAACCACTCCAGCCTCATGAGTCCTAAGTGTTCAAGCGCTCGAAGCACACCCAAGCTGAAGGCCAAAGCTCGTCCACCACCTCCTGAGAATGCCAAAGCAGTTTCCACACGATGTGGGAACCTTGGCTTCAAATGTAGAAAAATGTAGAAAACATTGAAGTGACATGAAGTGACAGATGCAACACCTTGCAACACCTGGGAAATATATGGAAATATTGCCATACAGAGTAAAACCTTTGTTCATACATGTTCGGCTACAAAGATTGGCAAAATATCTTCAGTAACTGTTTTTTGCCAGCAAGAATCTGTGGCTTCTCCTTTCGGATTGGTACAAGTTTCGCTCGGAGAATCCCTTGCTGGCGAAAGCAAAGGCCATTTACTTGGCAATAGCCAGGGGCACAAATGCAGTGTCCGGACCTTGTGGCCGAATGAACTGCAAACATCTGCAAGTGTGCATAGAAACACTCCCCTTTCCCATGGCTTGACCTTGCCACAGCCACTTCAGCAGCATCTCTTTAGAAACCTTTGCGCTGTCATCCCGAGGCAAACTGGATCGATCAAGGCCTGTAACTACATATTCGAACCTATAGATACCTATAGTATATATTATGAGAATATAATATATATATATATTATATTCTTATAATATATGTGATATATCTATAGTGTTTGGATGTATTTGGCGTCCAAGTGGCTCGCAAGTAGTGTTTCCCAACGTTGCCGAGCATCCAAAGAAACGGCAGGTCTGGTCCGTGTCGCGAATGCACCTGGCTCGCTTAGAGCACAACCCTTGCAAGCACGTGTAAAGGGTGTCCTAGGGAAGAAACCACACACTTTGTAGCCATAAAGTTGACTTGTGGATCTCCTGGTGTGGATGGAGCTAATCTGATGAAAAGGGTGCGGCTCTGCGTGGAGGTGTTGGGTGGCTGCCGGCCTATTTGCTTGGGCTTCTGCAACGCAGGTTCCATGATGATTGCAGAAGCCAGGCTTACACTTGCAGCGCCTGCGTTCACAGGTCGCCTGAGCCGGAAACATTCATGTGCAAAAATGAAAAGGCAAATAAAGGCAAAAATCTGAAACAACTTTTGCAACTTCAACAAAGTACATGCTTTAGCCTTTTTTGAGATCAACGTAGAGACCTAACCTGTCCTGGCCTATTACCTCATTTAATCTTATCAACAACCAGACTGCAACGGAAAAACTGGCCTCTCCACGAGAAGCGTCGCAGGAGAAAAACCGGCAGGTGCCCCCGGTGTCCCGGAAACATGAGCCCAAAGGAATCTCATCTGCACCTGCGCAACAAAAATGCACGTCATAGTATTCATAAGTGGTTGATTTCAGCTTGGCATACACTCCAACTGAACATACAGTGCAATGTCTAGATATGTGCAATATGTGTAAAATACATATACAGTATACGTATCATATATGGAGGGTGTGTGTTGATCAGCCCGGAACAAGAGAGAGAGAGAGAGATAGAGAGATAGAGAGAGGAAGATGGATGGATGGATCGATGGATGGGTGGATGGATGGATGGACATCGATTCCGTATTTGAACTTCGCCTGAACAAACCTGTGAATAAGTAATGAATAAGTACTAGTATACCATCTTGAAACGTCATAATGTCATGCAGCATCGATGCCTAGACCTTCCTCTGCTGAACCGCTTGACCACCCCCAGCTGCTGTTTTCCTGTCGCCAGCCAGCAGCAACAACTCCAATTAACAAACTACAGCAAATGAATAGCAAATGATAGCAGTTGGATTTTGCTGTGCAACTTCAACTGAATATCTGGAGTGTACTAAAGCGGCACCAAGTACCAGAAGTCCATGTAACGATCTCAAATATCTCAAAATCATCATCCAAAAGGACAACCCCAACAGTGCCCAACGAAACTTGACAGAGTTGACTAGCTGACCTCGGACATTTGTCGGGCACGTCGTTGGAGCCAGGAAGCCGCACAGACTGACGAGAGGGGCCGGGGTTTGTGCCTTGACATGCCGTAACTGCTTTCATCTCGATTCTTTAATTAGAGATGCTCCTAGATTTTCATAGATTTTCTAGTCCTGCTGCATCTTACCTTCTTGACATGGCCATTGATCCCAAGTCCCAGGATCAAGTCGGACAGAGTTCTGGTTTGCAATTAGAGCCAACGTGCAGTATCGTGCAGGCCTGTGTCGACGCACTCGTCCTCAGGCACCTTTGCAGTCTTGTGATGTCTTGTGCACATCAACCAACTGCCACCTGACAGTTCCTTTTGAAACTTAATCTGAAAATGTATATATATATATGTATATATATATATGTATATATTTGTATATGTATATTATAATTATTATGTATATATTTGTATATTGTTCTTTTAGAAGCCGCATGTCTTTGTGATTCTCCTTTCCATGCCAAATCACCACAAGCCAACCTGCCTGTAGCTCAGCACTGTAGCTCCTTGCCAGCCACCAGAAGGTCCAAAAACGGGGCGCCATGCTGAAGCCACCGAGCAAATATGTCATACTGCGCCGGTTGGTGAATGTTCGAGAATGTGTGAGGCATTTTGAGAGTCTGTTCTAAGCCCAGGGAAGGGGAACACCGTTGAAATCTATGGAAAACTGATGGCTGCCATGGCCTGAGCCAGCAGGGTGACAGTTTGGTCCCCACCAGGCGCAGTTTGCATTCCGTTGAGAAAGTGCTCAGCTGCGAATCACGGCTCGAATGTTGTATCTTGCCTAAACTTGTTCTAGTATATTGTGGGGCTGTGCTTTGCAATGTGGAACATGCCAAGTGTTTGGCCTTCAAGCAATAGCTTTGCACCATTGTTTGACCGTTGATGCGCAGTGACACAGGCCAAAAGCAGCTGAACAAAAGGCCAGAATGATCAGAATGCAAAGTGCAAGTGCCACCAAGATTTCTCAAACATGGCTCGAACAGCGCTCGCCAACGCGCATGCAGAAGTTGTTTTTCTCCGACCCAACTTGCGAAGTGCAACTAGTAGTCAGTTGATGTTAGTAGACTATGTACTTCACTATATAATTAGCATATAAGACGTGCATAAGAAATAGATAACAGCAGGATATGAAAGGCACTGTGTCCCAGTGGACGCTGCCTGAAAATGCTGAGAAAACTGGTTTACCCAAGAACAGGGTCATTTATGAGCCAGGTTCAGCAATCCTACAAGGCCGTTCTGACAAGCATTGAAGCAAGCTTTTCGCTGTATTCATGAGGAATATTCAACACGGGGGACATTTCTCCAACATTTCTTTTTGCTTGCTGCATAACATGCCAGGAGCGGTGATAATGCAGCACAAGGGTCCTGTGTCTTTACCTGGCTGCCTTGATGGCGTCGTGGTTGCTCAGTGTGCCCTGTGCCAGCCCAGCAGCGCCAGCCACTGCTGCAGCTGCCACATCCTCAACTGCCAGTGGTGGCGACAACGCTAATCGCAGCGCCGCAGGGGAGGCAGCAGCTACACCGCGGAAGATGCCAGTGGAGAGAAGTGACTCCACCTACAACTTGAGTCAATTTGGATCAACTTGTGATCAATAGACTCGGAGAGCCAAGCAACTACTGTTCTAGACGCACCAGAGGTGAGAATTGGTGGATACTATGTGTTTTCTATTTTTACACCAATCCACTGAGCAACCAACCTTCTCACCGTACCAGCCAGCCACACGGGGCGGAGTTGCGCTGAACTCTTCACCACCATAGATGAAGCTGGGCTGCCTTAGCTGCTTCACAAGAGCCGCAAAGAAGGCATGTCGCCAATCTAGCCGGAGTCAAACAACATCAAACAACATCAAACAAATGAAGTGATGACCCTTCAGGAAGCAAACTGTGCTTGTTTCACATGATTTGCTGCACCACGTGATCACATACAAGGTATGAGCAACGCCAGACTTGATAAGCTGGCCACAAGCTAATGGCTTCAACGACAAACGGGTGGGCAAGATGCAGGATGACCCCGTTGGCTCCAAATTGCTCTGCAACTGCAGCCTCTGCCCGTCTTTTGCCCTTCACATATGGCCCGAAAATTGCATCAACCTCAGTTCCATGCCCAAGCAATTCCTCCACTTAGCTGTGCTCCACACGCAAGAAAGACTGCTGGAAGCTCAGTCAGACAGGGTCCTGGAGATAGCCCCGATAGACTTCAACATCCTTTGGTAAATCTTGCAGGCATAGAATTACATAGCTTATCACCTCTGGGTGCGTTCAACTGCAGATTTAAACGGACCATAGCAGTCTAGCGACGCCGGCTTCAGCCACATCCTTCAAAAAGGAAGTGGACACACAATCACGGCAAATGTACTGCTGCCCAAATAAACTGTCTGATTCTGGGAGCGCCAAAGAAACAACAAATCTTGCACACCTTCCTCATCACCCTGCACAGTAGCGCGTCATGCAGAAACAATATTTTGAAACAATATCACCACCCTTTTAAGGGGAGACGATGCGTATGTATATATATTGTATAATATTGTATACTGATGTATACTGTATATATATATATACATACGGTTACATACGTATGTAAGATATATACATGTTTTAAAAATTGTTTTAAAAGGTTTGCGAGGGAATCCGAGGGAAGATGTTGAAAATGTACTTGGTACATTTTTTGCTCTGAAACATATTCACAGATGGTCAAAGAATATTCTGCTCCTTAGATTGTTGAGTTGTAGCCAGTTATAGCAGTGCAAAAACCACTGGAGTCACTGGAGCAAACCTCCTGTCGCCTTCCAACATCTTCCAACTGCCTCCGCATGGCTTTGCAGAGCTGTCCTTTGAGGCTGAGACCAGCACAAACCGCTTGGCGTTGGCCTTTCTGGCTGCCTTGGCAGCAGCTTCATTGGTGGCGCCGTTGCCGGTCTCATCATCCGCTGTGCCAATGGTGCCAATAGCAGAGATAACCTCAATACGGTCCACACAGCGGAACTCATGTCACGCACGCTCTGTGAATGAGACTCTCGAAGCGAAATTGTGAATGGGCCAGGCCATGGCAACCGAATAAGATGTGGGTCAGTGCACCCGTTTGAAACCTTCAGATCTCAACACGTGAGACTGCAAATTGCAGTGATTTTAGTTCACTTACAGTATGTTCAGTTCAACTGTCTGTTGCATTTATCATTTTAGATGCAAACACAATCTGTTGGCTGCTGCGCATTGCTGCGCCACATCTCCAGATTGGCCTGCCACACTTTCACAATCTCTGACCTAAGGAAGGCTTGACAAGGTCAAAGAAACTGCGTCAGCACCGGCCATGATTCGATCCAGGTCTGTGCTGAGCACATCTCCGCTTTGCCATCGAACTTCGCTAACCCACGGCGCTGTCAACTTGGGAGCGCCAGAGCGGGAAAGGCTGACCACTTTGGGACCTTGTGCCACCAGGCCTGTGGAGCATCAAGATATCAAGGCATCTTCAAGGCTGCGCAACTGCAAACTCTGCAAACAGCAAGTGGTTAACCAAGCGAACATCATTGAACATCATTGAACATCTGTGTATCATGATGATGCATTATCTATCTCTGTCTCGTGCTTGTACTTTTTCCACCACAGGCCACAGACTATCCCAATTGACCAAGTGTACTATCCAAGAAACCCAAGAACATGTCAAACACGTGCGTAAAGAATCGAAGCAAAGCCAAATGGAATCTTTAATCTTTTGATACAGCTTATGCAAAATGAAAATGACCTGACTTATCCTTACCTCGAGTGATAGTGATCCCCAACCTGATTATTCTGACATAGTTTCTGACATAACAACTATCTGGAAGTGCATATGGCATACTACATATTCTATCATATTCTGACGTTCTATCTGACATTCTAGATCATTCTAGCTGACATTCTCTCTGGCATTTTATCTGGCATCTATACTGACATTCTTTCCGGCAGGTGTTTGGGTCCAGGCGTGCTCCACTGCATCCGGCGCTGGCGATATAGATCGAATCCATTGGCGCCCACAGTCACGACGAGCTTGCGAGGAGGAGACGAGGAGGGAGAGAAGGAAGGAGTGAAGGAGTGAAGAAGTGAAGGAGTGAGTGAGGCACACCTTTGTTAAAATCTAGAGACCCTCACCTGACAGATGAATAATCACAACCAAAGTATCCTTCGCAGATTCTCTTCCCAACGAACCCAGATCCACCGAGGACCTTGCGATGAAAAAAGAAGCATCTGACTGCGACATACTGCGACGTCGTTCATTACGTACCATCTGTATTGAGAGCTCTGAGCACAGCCGCGCCAAGCACAACTACACCAGAATGACCCCTCAACATCCCAACATCAGTCAGCGACCCTCATAACATGTTCCAACCCGCCATCAATCAGAAGCTGCTGACGAGATGCAGCAACCTTCTTGCCGGCCAAGCTCTCGGCAACGGCAGGTTCTGGCCGCAACACCTTTGGCTGGCACACGACCATGGGACACCCATCTGCCAGCTGCGTGACGAAACTGGCCAAAAGTGGAATCCTGTTACGAGTTGCCAAAGTAGATGAATTATATTGAATTGTAACTATCACCTGTGTCGAATTATACCATGAATTACCTGAACATACCTGTGCCCAAATTAATTCGCGATGACTTGCCGTTGGATCCCAAGACAGCTCCCTGCTTGCCACCTCTGCCAGCGGAGCCAAACCGAAAAGAAGCCCTTCGCGTCTTCCAAGGCTTGTCACACCTGGGCTCTGATTCTTTGCAAATTCCAACCCTTTGCATCAGTCTTCCAATGTGGTCCCATCATCGAACATTCATCTAATCTCTCTACACTGCAAGCATCTGACTGAGACCTTGTATTATGCTGATTTCCAAAGTGTCTATGCGATGATTTCCCAACATGCACCTGGAAACAAAAGACTTTCTGCTTCCTTAGTTTCAACAGCCCAGATGCGCTTGCTCGTGGTTGTGTGCTCTGGCTGGCCCAAGAACGCTTGTCCAGCCGCGAGTAGCAGCAGCACCGCTGCTACCTTAGTTTCATTATATCATACAATATATTAATTATATAAATATATATTTGCAATTGTTTACATATATTTACTGTATATTTATTTATGTGTCATTCACACATCTTTCAATTGGATCCAATTTTCGCTTGCGAAATTCTCGTGCCAGGCTACTGGCCTTTTTCGGTCTGGCTTGGGCATGGCGGCCTTAAGTCCTTCTCCCCGGGCGCGTTTCGGCAAAGCAACTGCTCGTGCTGCAGAACGTGGTTTATATACTTGTTTTCCCTTACTATCAAGTACAGTCAAGTACAGGATAAAATGGATAAATCAGGATAATCTAAACCCAGCTGGCCCAATTGCTGGTTTTAGACTTCGATAACTTTCACACTTTGATCAACAGAACGCGACGCAATGCTGGGAGCACCAAGGCAGGATAAGGCAGGAATTCCGTCCATCTTGCAGGCTGATGGAGCTGAAGAACTCAACGACATAACCCCCAGCCAATATGCGATGAGTTTTGAACCCAATAGCATCCAGCAACCTGAAACAACAACACATTCAGTTTAGACAGGTTAGACATAAACATCATAAACTAAAAATGTTAGAAAGGCGTGGGGTTTCCAATATCTCAGTATATCTCGTCGCTCTGCTTTTTGTCCCGGGCCTGGGAGCCACCATCTTTACGGTGCTTACGGTACATCTGTACAGGGAAACTTGCGAATTCGATGTGATGACGAGGAGATCTGAGCACAAACTTGAAAGTCGAACTTGTGCATGTTCCATGTGTGTAGATGTTTCTTGATGCAGGACAATGGCAGAATATGATATGATATATTATGATATACGATATATATTATGATATATGATATATATTATGATATATGATATATATATATAGTATATATATATAGTATATATAGTAACATGATGTAACATGCATGTTTTGCATCATTGTGCATTATTTCGCAATATTGAAGGACACATCAAGGCACTGCTTGCAGTCAGCATAGTGTAAATTAGTGTATCACTACGTCAGAGGCAGTCATGCAGGTCTATGATGCAAAACCGCTGTTAAACCTAACGTGGCTTTAAAATGCTTTAAATATGACTGTGCGTTGGTCCACCCTCCCAACCACACCCCAAACCCCGCACATTGAGCGCGCGTATGGCTGTGCTGAGGTTCTTCTAGCTTCGCAGCTGTGCATGGCAAATTTCAAAAAAAGGTCAAGCATGATTGGCAAGACACAGAAACTTTTGCTCACTACCGTAGCACGCTGAAGTGTATCAAAAAGTGAGTCGACCACATTTGACAACCTGGAACTGTTCAATTCGAAACGAGGACCTTCTACTTCCGCATACGCCGAATAGATCGAAATGTAACATCTTCAAACCAGAGGCTCACTCTTGATGTGTACTTCAGGGAACTGAATAGGCTTGTTGAGGTGTCCCAGAGACGTTCCAGTCTGGAACCAGGAGTTTCAAGTATATGTCCCCGGTTGCAAAAGCATGCAAAAGCTCTTGCATTGACATATCGGCATCACTTGAAACGGCTAGAGTAACTAGTAGGACAACACACACATAACACACATGATACATATGATCCATGTGCGGGTTCTAAAGTGAACTGGTGGCAATGCTCCAGGATCCTCTGGCTTGCACCAGTCAACTCATTCAAACTTCATCAGCCTGCGTGCCACTTAGAGACTGCACCTGCAAACAATTCACTCCCAAATTGCAATTTGTTACCCTATTTTGAGTTCAAACATCACGCATCTTGACAAGCACTCCTCTGCCCTCTGGGCCAAACAACTCTTGCAACACCAAAATAGATGCATGAGAGTGAACGCACAAACTGCAATATGTATCAATATGTTGCACTTATTTGCACTCGAACCCTTGCGACTTCAAGTAGCTGAAGCTGGCACGCGCCGCAATGATGATCAAATGACTTGTGTCTGGTGAGTTCTCCTGACCTGGCAAGTCGCAGAGCCAAAGTAGTGAAGGCACAATGGGTTGATATGTGATCCCGATGACCCATGGCGGTGATGTCCTTTGACCATCTCTGATAAAATCAGGCTCTGACATGTGGATCCTCACCATGAAGTCTCAGGCCCCCTGCATTTTGTAAATGACAAGGGGGGAAATCGTTCTCGCACCCAAATCCCTCCAAGTGCTTCAAAATCTTCAAAGATCAAGGATCCCAACAGCTCCATCTGCATCCAAGCAGCAAGCCCAAGCCGAGCTTGGTATCTTCCCACCAGCTGAGGACCTGGAGCAGTCAGTTGTCTGCAACAGAAGCCAGGGTCTACAAATGTCTACAAGTTGTTGGCCCGAGCCGCACCCGGCATAGCTGACTGGCAATTTGACTTAGGACATCTTCTGAATTGGCCTACAACATCCAAACACATCCTGAATTCTGAAGCGAAGTCTGGCGCTTCCTTGAGACTGAGGGGTCCCTGCGCCAGGCTTGAGACTGAGGGGTCCCTGCGCCAGGGTTGATGCGGATTTGACGAAGATAATCCCACCTCAGTCTCAGTATCTCCCAGGGCTTGAAATGCTGCCCAGGTCAGCCCCATACAGAGACAATGGGAGATGACCTCGAGTCAGAAGCTTCTGTGCTCCGTGCGCACTTCCCTCGCTGCTGGTTGCACCTCAAGCAACACACCCAAAGTCTGTAGGACATCGAGAGACACGAGCCTTCCTGCAAACAAACCTCGAGCAACTAGGCGGACCAACCATGCTCCCTAAATAGGGAAGACTTGCCAATTGTTTTACGATTAGCACAATGCAGCAGCGACACACTATACTTAAGAATAGCAACAACGTTGGCAGTTGTGAGGAAATGGCTCAAGCAAATTCACACGAGTCGTCTGAGCGGGGTCCGAAACATGCGTCAAACCGATCGAGCAGAAGAACACCAGTAGACTCAGTAGACCATGCAGTGGACTGTCGAGACTTGGCAAACAAGTGCCTGTGCTGCAGGGTGAGGTCATCGACAAAGAAAAGTCCTCACAACGACTGCAAACAAACACACGCACATGGCACAAAGGGGACCAGTATCCTGTGCCGTAAGATATCTCAAGATGCTGCACGATGATTGCAGCCGCCGACCAGGTGGAAGGAGCATGAAGGAGCAATGCGGAAATAGGGTACCTCTCTCTCTCTCTCTCTCTCCATACGGTACGAGTGTACTGTTTTGTCAAGCAGAAAACTCTTCAGCTCCTGAGCTCCACCTAACAGCCACAGCCACAAACGACTGACGGTGTCCTCATCGGAGTCCATCCTGCGTCTGGGAGGTGACCTTAGTGATGCCAAATATGATTTGTGATACAAGATCCTACATGTACACGCACACCCAAATATAGATGACATAGCATGACATGCATATATAGAAAAGATACAATGATAAATGGTATAGTATGGTATAGTAATACTATGTAATACTAATCTATTCTATACTATTCTATACTAATACGATCATTGCGATCTATGTAATAGTATGTGTACATACTGTTACATATTGTGCTGGTAAAACATGGTAAAACCAGGAAAGTGTCACCAGGAGCCGGGCTGCGGTGTTCGCTCCTGAGATGCAGCAAGGTAACAAGCTACAAGCTGTGCAGCTTCAGCGCAGAGAGAATCAGGTTGCAACTCCTTTCAAGCAATTCATGGCAATTGATGGCAATTGATGGCATTAACACCATCTGACACTCACATCACTCACCTTTTCAATCTTTTCATGGCACTGTTCAGGTGTGTGAAGCTTCCAAATGTACGAAAAAACCGCAGCTTGCTGCATCTTGGGAACCATCAAGTCATCCGTTCTCAACGGCAGTGGCCGGCGGAGTACCTCTAGGATGTGGTCTGGGATACCTTGGAAATTTGATGAAGCTAACAGGGTTGTCAGGTCCAAACATGTGTCCACGCAAGGCTCAAACTCTAAGCATCTAAGCTGGAAAGTCTGAGGCACGTGCTAATGCTATCACTGCCCAGCACAGCAATGCGGGCTATGCTCTCGAAATCACAATCCTCCTGGATGCCGTTTGAACTTGATGCAAGTTGTGCATGCGTGTGCACAGGCTGCTGACCAACATACAGCGCGATGATTGTGAGTCCTGTTGCTGGCTTCTCATTGTCTTGAAGAAGCTGACGATTTCTTCAAACCTTTTGGCTAGACTTGGGCTGTCTTTTCCCGTTGTTTTCCCTATTAGCTTTTCAAAATGGCCAGTTGCCAGGTTACCATCGGTTACCATTGAATCGCTGAATCTTGGCATATCTTGGCTCAGGCCCCTGGCTTCATCTTGAGCAGCGTTGCTTTTAGCAGCTGCAGGACTGACAACGATATTGGCAAGATCTCCTGGCGAAAATGCATGGATCAACAAGGATCAACATGGATCAACAAGGTTGGCCGCTAAGTAACGCGTACGACCTTGAAAATACATTCCATGTGCAATAATGTTCAGCACCACTTTTTTCTCTTGCCATTTTCCCACTATTTGTGCCACGAACAGCTGTACGAGTTTCGGTCCGTGGCCGCGCGGCGGAGCACTGTACATTGCGCCTTCTGTGCGTCACGAATCAGCGAAGTGTCAAGTGTCCACTCCGTCTGCGTCAAATATGATAAATATTAATAAATATGTATGAGTCTGCTGACTCCCATGAATAATCGGAACGATTGTCCGACTCCCATGAATGATCTGAGCGATTGTCGTCATGATCATAGTCGAAGTTCACCACATCGCTGGGTTCGGTGCAAGAAGAGCTCACGTAGGATATCTTCACGACCAAATCTTCCACGTTGATCCTGTGCATATCCTGTGCCCACCTCCATGACCCACCTCGTACTCCATCTGGTAGAAACAACCTGAGTCTGGCTCAGCCCGCGAGACGATCTCATCACTCTCAGTGTAACTGATCGCTGGCGGGTGCGTTCCGTAAGGGTACTCATCACTCCTGAAGGTCCCATAGATGTTCTTGCGCACCAGCACTTTCTCCCGACGCTTGAGGGTCAAAAACAAGTTTGACTTGGCATATCTATGCATATCTATGGTCCTGGTCAAGGAAGGTACGGGCGGAAATTTTGATGCTGGACACGGGATGCACAAACTCCTTGGACCTGGCCGCCTCGCCCAGGTAGCAGCTGTCGGTGCTATCCTGGCGATCGTTTATGGTGGCATGGAGGATGTTGGGGCCAGGATTCTCCACCACCATCGTCAGGCGTCAGGCTGCATCCTGTCTCCAGATTGTACGCGCTGAGCGTCGCAGCGGGATCGTCCAAGACCGTGTTACCATATAGACTTGAGAGGGGGAACACGAAAGGTAAGTGATGAAGAAGGGGAAACAAAACCTCTCTGTGTAAAAACTGTTTGCGTGTAAAAACGTGCCGTGTGCAATCCGTCTTCCGTGTAAAAGCATCTGTGTCTAACAACGTCTGTATGTAAAAAATGTTGTGCGTAAAACCTTCTGTGCGTAAGACTTCTGTGCGGAGAACTTTCTGTGTAAAAACCATCTGTCTGTAAAAATTGTTGTGCGTTTAAAAAAAAATCTGTCCGTAAAGGCTTCTGTGCGGAAGAGTTTCTGCTGTGTAAAAATTGTTCTGGGTAAAGTGTCTGCGTGCAAAAAAAAATCGGTGCGGTTTTTTTGTGCAGTCTGTGTGTACAATTTTCTCTATGTCTATGTTTTTCAGTGCCAAAAAGAGTCTGTGTCTGTGTAAAAATATGTAAAGATTGTTCTGTGCAAGTTTCTCTGTGGCAAAGGTTCTGTGTGTAAAAATGCCTACGTGCCGTTATTTATGTGCGCAAAAACATCTTTGTACAAAGCAGCGGTATGTAAAAACATCCTTCTTGTGTAAAAACATCTGTGTGTAAAGGTGTCTGTGTACAAAAGTTCTCTGTGGACAAACCTCTTTGTGTAAGAATGCCTGCGCGTAAAAACTGCTCTGTGTAAAGGCTACTGTGCGTAACGTCGTTTGGTTGTAGATATGTATTGGTGCAAAATGCGCGGCCAAAAAGAATCCAAGTTCAAATGTTTGATGTCGTTTCCGTTGTTGCTGATGGAGATGATGCGCACAGGGCCCCGCAAGGCGCCATTTTGGCTGTCTTAAATCAATTTTTGAAAGCCTTCGGAACAAATTACTTTCTTCGAGTAATTACCACCAAACGACACTTTTTTTACATATTTTCTAGCATCATATCTCGCATTCGCATTTTATCTCACATATTTTCTGAAATTAATTCTGGCATTCTACCGGGTATATCTTCGGAGAGCCTTTATAATTGAGGTCCGACGGGCAACACTCTGATCCGGTGCGCGCAGTTGAGGTATGGTAAGGTCGGCGGATCTAGTAGAATCTAGAGCTTGCAGTTGTTGTTGTTGTTGTTGTCGTTGGTTGTGGTGGTTGTGGTGGTGGTTGTTGTTGTTGTTGTTGTTGTTGATGTTTGTTGTTGTTTGGTGTTGTTGTTGTTGTTGGTTGTTTGTTGTTGTTGTTGTTGTTGGTGGTGGTGGTGGTGGTGGTGTTGGTGGTGTTGGTGGTGTTGGTGGTGTTGGTGGTGTTGGTGTTGTTGTTGTTGTTGATGGTGGTGGTGTTGTTGTTGTTGTTGTTGTCGTCGTTGTTGTTGTTTGTTGTTGTTTGTTGTTGTTTGTTGTTGTTGTTTGTTGTTTGTTGTTGTTTGTTGTTGTTTGTTGTTGTTTGTTGTTGTTTGTTGTTGTTTGTTGTTGTTTGTTGTTGTTTGTTGTTGTTTGGTTGTTGTTTGTTGTTGTTGTTGTTGTTGTTGTGTTGTTGTTTGTTGTTGTTTGTTGTTGTTTGTTGTTGTTTGTTGTTGTTTGTTGTTGTTTGTTGTTGTTTGTTGTTGGTTTGTGGTTGTTGTTTGTTTGTTTGTTGTTTGTTTGTGGTTGTTGTTGTGTTGTTGTTTGTTGTTGTTTGTTGTTGTTTGTTGTTGTTTGTTGTTGTTTGTTGTTTGTTTGTGTCTGTTGTTGTGTTTTGTTGTTTTGTTTGTTTTGTTGTTTGTTGTTGCTTGGTGGTTGGTTGTTGTTGTTGTTGGTTGTTGGTTGTGTGTGTTGGGTTGGTTGTTGTGCTGGTGGTGGTTTGTGGTGGTTGTGTGGTGTGGTGGTTGTGGTGGTTTGTGGTGGTTGCTGGTGGTTGTGGTGGTTGTGGTGGTTGTGTTGTTGCGGTGGTTGTTGGTGGTTGTTGTTGTTGTGTGTTGTTTGTGCTGTTGTTTGTGGTGGTTGTTGTGGTTGTTGTTGGTTGTTGTGGTTGTTGTGGTTGTTGTGGTTGTGGTGGTGGTGGTGGTTGTTGTTGTTGCTGCTGCTGTTGCCCCTGCAGCTTTTTTCTCCATCCCGTAGCGGCCGAAAATCGTCAAATAGGTGGTGTTTCCGCTTGTTTTTGCAACGCTCGGAGCAAAACAAGCACTGTAAATACTGATGTTTTTGGCAGGTCGGAAGCCCAAAACCACAGTATTTACGATGTTTTTTTGGCCTCTGGTAGCAAAAATCACGGTATTTAATTACAACGTTTTTTGGCAAGCACCTAGCAAAAACACTAGTATTTACGCAGGTTTCACCATGTTGCAAGATGTAGTTTCTATATCCGAAAGGGACAAACACACTGTAATTACAGTGTTTTGGGTCTGCTCTTAGGGTGCGTGGGGGGCGTGGAGGGGGGGTTTGGGGAGGGTGGGGGTTACTGAAATGACTGGCCATCTCCTGAATAATCAGGTAACGGGCTGGCCGCCCTCCCCTTTACTTCGTAAAGCAAAACTCAAGGTAGCCACACTGGAGCTACTTTTCGTGATCAGTTTCAAGTGCTGCTTGGTAGGGCCCAAACCCAATCCAAAGAGCGTCTGTCTCAAATCACTCACCGTGTCGGGTCGGTGTCGAGAACGTCCACATCAAAGGGCTGATTGCCCAGCGAGTGAATGGACACTGTCAGCGGCCCAGCCATGGCTTTGCCAGGCCGAGAAAAACGACAAGCTCGGGCCTGTCAAGTGCTTTTTGGTTTCGATGCAAAGGCCGAGCATGCGCTTGCCTTTCATGGACGAGAACAACATCTCTTGAGCATGAACCGACAGCAGTTCTGTGCATACGCTTTGTCCTGAAGCCCTCCGCAAATTATGGCCTCAGAATGCCACAGTATGGTTCCAATGCATGCAGGCAAGTGGAAAAAATGCAGCTGAACTGAAACTGGAACCTATAGATTCACTGCCTGCGTTGCAGGATTCAACTGATCATTGAAACAAATAATCTGTATGAAATCCTTGAACAGAAAAACCGACATCCGGCAGCAATGCAGAGGGGCACACTTCCTACGAGTTGTATTGTAAAAGAAGTGCCGTTCCCATGTGTCTATGAAAATTCTTTCAAGTACTTATATTATATGATTTTGCAATGTAATGTAATGTATAGTAAGTAACCAGCAGGTAGAAAATTCAGGATTGCCAGGTCAACAGATAAGGACAAACAGCAGAGAGATAGAATATTATTCTTACTCAATAGGTTGAAATGAACCATTTCTGATCATTCCTGCAACTAAATCAAGTCAAAATGAACAATTTCAATGATTATGCGCACCATTTCCTGCAACTAATTCAGGTTAAAACGAACAATTTCAATGATTATGTGTGTGATTTACTGCAACTAATTGATATATTTTTGCATGCCAAGAGAGCTGGCACACAATCTTAAGGAACATCCATCCAAAATCACCAAAACCCTTGTAAAAACCATAGCACCAGCAGATCGAATATTAAAATATTCTATCTGCAAGTTCTTTACCCAATAGGTTGATGTTGACTATTTTTAAAAAAAGAAGACCAGCTTTCTATTCTATCTGCTGGTTACTTACTATAATGTAATGTAATGTAATGTAACGTGATGTAATGTAATGTAATGTAACGTAATGTAATGTAATGTAATGTATGTGTTACATCTCTCTCTCTCTCTCTCCATCGCCTTCTCGAACATCCACATATATATAACTAATATATATATATATAATATATAAATGTATTATTTCTAATAATTATATGTAAAATTCATTTTCACACCCTCCAGGCCACATTCTGCAGCATGGAGCCGGATTCAAGCCAAGTCACATCCCAAAAAACAAGGACCATGGGAAGGGGCAGGCTGCTGATAAATAATGTCAAGAACCACTGGTGCCTGTCACGCAAACAATCAAACTATAGAAACAACAGAAAACAAAGAGTTACTGTAGAGCTAGAGCGAAACATACGTATCAAGTTACAGACCGCTCCGTCGTTTCAAATGCTGACATCTGCAAAACGCAAAATCTTACTGGAATCAAACAGTTCAATAAAATTCAATACCTCTATTGCAGGAAAGGTGCAAGTAAACGGTATGCTGCAGGTTTTCCTTGCAAAAGTGCTGCTGCAATTCCTGGGCAGGATAAAGACCAAGGAGAATGCCTGAAGCACGTGGGGAAAATCTTTCGCCAGCTGCCCTACGTATTCAACAAAGGTCACAGAGAGCTGCAAGCAGGTAGGCCAAGGACGAAAAGGATGACAAGAGGAACGAACCAAATGAACGCCTAAAGGGTCCTTCATTGTCTAAGCCTTTTCCCGCTGATTCTAGACTATAGTTGCGTACTATTGCAACAAAGCGGCCGGCAGCGTTGAAGAAATCAGCTCTTCAAAGGCCCACAGGTACCTGGAACACACAACCAGCAGGTGAAAGTCGTCCCATCAAAAAACGGTTTGCACAATGAATATTGCCAGATAGTCCGAGTATGATTTGACGATTCCAATGCATTTGTTTGCAATCGCGTGCCGCTGCAGCAGCGGAAACTGCCGGCGGTAGAAGCCGTTCAAATGACCTCGCTGAAAGAGCATGAACAATTATATCACACTGGCAGGGGCTTCCAACGGTTTGCCTTACTGCTACGTTAAACTATTTCAAAATGCAAATTTCAATCATTGCACTGAGCACTTGACTACACTCCATCAAACTGAAGAACATCCAAAAAGTTTCCTCCATCGGATCAAAGGTTACGAAACTATACGAAACTGGTTTTGTAGTGTTTTGTACGGTTTTGTCTTAGGCACCATTGCCTACCTGAAAGTGAGAGACATAAGCCTCAACAAGGTTTGCGCTGCGAAACTATTGATGGCTGGCACATCTTATCACTGTCAACCATGGTGCAACCCTTGGGCTCACACGTTTTTCGATATCTGTCGCACTCTTTATACTTTAATTTATGCGGCTTCCATCTCAGCTTCCCTCTCCTCTTCGGTCTCCGGAGACAGCGTTTGTCCGAAAATTCCACCTTGGACTACCTGAAGGCATGATTGATGGATTGATTGATTGATTGATTGACTTTCAGAAATACGATAGCAAGGCACAACTGGATATTCTCATCCGAGTTGGAACGCTGGAGCATATCGAACCTACACGTATGACCATCATTGACCCTCCAGAATGACCCTCGGCAAATAATTTCGGTGTGTCGAAGCACCAGTAGGAGGAGCCCAACGATAAAGTTCATCCCCTGACCTTCAGAGCACCGTGGCAATAACTTGCTCTGCACCGGCTATGATGGAATGTGCACACTGGATGGAATGTGCGAGGTGGAGATATGTATAGATCGAACATAACTCCCTTTGTCAAAGTAATCATTTCTGGACTATGAAAGCTCATGAGGATCTGGCAGTATCCAACGTCTGGACACAGATTCGCATAGGCTTTCAAGATGCGAAAGAGGCACTTTTGCCTCTGCTCTGAAGGCTGCGCATCAGACTCTGCTTCGACATTTTGTGACGGTTCAGTCAAACTTGACCACTGCGTGCGGTAGTTTGAGCTCGCAACTGTTCTGCATCAAAGCTTGGATCTTCCTAAGTCAGCAGGGGCAGGAACTTGCAAAAGCGACCTGATGTACCAGCGAACTTTTTCAGGGAACGAGAGAGGGAGAGACAGAGAGAGAGACACACACACAATGCACAACCAAATATATCCAAATACATGCAAACAGTTTGTGATATCTCTTGATCTTAAGCAAACGCATCGCCAAGCATCTGGAAAGGTGCGGGGAATATCAATTTTGATAAGGTGAAGGAACTCGTTATCCGCAGTTTGCAACTCCTGGATTGGAGATCCCGAGTGTGACATTCAAAAAGGCACAGTGCTGGGGCCAGTCCTGGTAAAGACCTGGCTTCGCATGCGCTTCTGCATTTAGAGCCGTCTTCCAAACCTGACCAACATACCAACAAGCCAGAATCCCCGGCCTGGCCTGCTTCAATATTTTGAAATATTTTTCCCGAGAGCGTCTGAGCGAAGGGTTCTTCTGATAGTGGGGGTCTGTCAAACATTTTCACATCTTCACATAACATCTTCAAATCTTCACATCTTCTCATCCTCACATACTCACATCTTCGCATCTTCTCATCTTCACACCTGCTCATCTTCACATCTTCTCATCTTCACATCTTCTCATCTTCACACCTTGTCATCTTCACATCTTCACATCTTCTCATCTTCACATCTGTTCATCGTTGCATCTTCTCATATTCACATCCTCACATCTTCACATCTTCTCATCTGCACATCCTCACATCCTCACACCCTCACATCTTCACAGCCTCACATCTTCACGTCTTCTCATCTTCACATCTGCTCCTCTTCTCATCTTCACATCTTCTCATCTTCACATCTTCACACCTTCTCACCTTCACATCTTCACATCTTCACATTCTCTCTTGCCCTCTTGCTCTCTTGCCTTCTTGCTCTTGCCCTCTTGCTCTCTCCTTCTTTTCTATTTCTCTCTTAAGGCGCGGGGCAGTGCCAACGAGACGGCACGAAACGCAACCCTTTCGCACGAAACGAGGTTCGATCGCCAAAAACTGCGGTAAAATTATGATTTGCATGGGTCCGGCGCCACCCTTTCGCACGAAATGAAATTCGATCGCCAAAAACTGCGGTAAAATTGCGATTTTCAAGCGTCCGGCGCAACTCTTTCGCACGAAATGATGTTCAATCGCCAAAAACTGCGGTAAAATTGCGATTTTCAAGCGTCCGGCGCAACCCTTTCGCACGAAATGAGGTTCGATCGCCAAAAACTGTAGTAAAATTGCGATTTTCAAGCGTCTGGCGCAACCCTTTCGAACGAAATGAGGTTTCATCGCCGAAAACTGAGGTAAAATGGTACTTCTGTGTGCAAAAAAAGTCTGTGTGTAAAAGCGTCTGTGTGTAAAAGCTTCTGTGTGCAAAAGCGTCTGCGTGTAAAAAGCTTCTGTGTGAAAGGTTCTGTGTGTAAAAGCTTCTGTGTCTAAAAGCTTCTGTGTGTAAAAGGTTCTGTGTGTAAAAGCTTCTGTGTGTAAAAGCTTCTGTGTGTAGAATCTTCTGTGGGTAAAAGTGTCTGTGTGTAAAAGTGTCTGTGTGTAAAAAGCTTCTGTGTGTAAAAGCTTCTGTGTGTAAAAGATTCTGTGTGCAAAAGCGTCTGCGTGATTCTGCGTGTAAAAAGCTTCTGTGTGTAAAAGTTTGCTGTGTGTCAAAGCTTCTGTGTGTAAAAGCGTCTGTGTGTAAAAGCGTCTGTGTAAGAAGCTCCTGTGTGTAAAAGCTTCTGTGTGCAAACGCCTCCGCGTGTAAAAATGTGGAACAACAGCGCTGTGAATAGCACCAGGATTTCACACTTGGCGCAACCTAGCTCTCATTTGTTTGTGCGCTGGGAGCCCTGAAACCGCAGAATTTGTCGATGTCAAAATGATGTCCAAAAGTATGTTCGTGACGTTTGTTTAGTGCATCGGCAAAAGTCAACCAGAACTGTCTGAGACTTGTTGATGCACGTAATGCTTCCTTTCTCACCATAATGCATCAGCATAAGTCAACCAGAACTGTCTGAGACTTTGTCGTCTACAGCCGACTTTTTTGAATTCGTCGACAGTGAATAAAGCTGCTGATTGCTTTTGCGCATGTAGTTGCATGGATCGATCTGATTTCTCATCCTAGATTCATTAGTGGGTAGCAGCACATATAGAAGCATCTCTCAGCAACATGTTCGATGGCATTGCTTATCGTCACACTGGCCTACGTGACATCATGAGGCTGCAGGTTCTTGCTCACATGTGGACTGCACTGTTGAAAAGCCGGGTCTTCAGGTTAGGATTGCAAGAATTCAAGCACGCATCGCAAAGTTTCTAGCAACCAAATTCAGTTCCCCAAAATGTTGTAGCTGTACTAACATCATGTCGCACCTGGCAACCGATTGCTTTGCAGCTGCGGGAAGATTGCAATATACTTCGTTTCGAACAAATTCAGTTGATTTGAACGATGCGCTGTTGGTATCCATTCATGACTGGATTCGGTCACGAACTTCACCCCCCCTTCGGATTGCTGAGGTGGCCACGACAACGATGACTTCGCTGTGTGTGTGTGTGTGTCCTGGTGTCTGTCTGCGTCTCTGTTTGTGCGTCCCGTGTCTGTCTCTTTGTTTGCGTGTGTGTCTGTGCCTGTGTGTGTGCGTGTATGTGTCTTCCTCTTTGTGTGCGTGTGTGTCTGTGCCTGTGTGTGGGTGCGTGTATGTGTCTTCCTCTTTGTGTTCTGTTTGTGTGTATGCGTGTGGTGTCTGTCTGTGTACCGTGTGTGTGTGTGTGTACCATCTGAACAGATGTAAAACTTCTGATTGGTTTTCACTAATTTGCCGGGGAGTGGTGAGCAATGATGAAGTCACCACTCAACGAAGACGCTTCATCATTTGCTGTGATATGACGAAGGGACGCCTTTGTCACGTACCTGCTTTTTTCGGACATAGCAAGGGGCCAAGCTAAGAACCCCAACCACAATCTTATACAATTTGCTGCACTGTTGTCGCAATCTGGAATTACTTTTGGTCATTTACTATTGATTCAGTTGCATCAGAACCTTCCTCAGAGCAAGGACGTAGAAAGCACCTATGTATTATTTTGTTTACATGATCGCCGACAACATCGTCGCCGATGGTATTCATCTAAGTTTCGCCGACGTTATTCTTCGCCGATGGTATTATTACTGGTTTATTCATTCTTTTTGACGTCGATTCTGAACCCTATGACCATTCTGAAGTACTTCTATTATTCGTAGGATGCATTGTTAATTTCAGTGTTTCGTACTTAATCTGCATGTTTCAGGATTCAGTTCCTGCCGGATCATATAATGATCCATTCTTGTCTAGTGTGATTTCCATGGTGGCTCCGACATGGTGCCATGGAGCCATTTGAGGCAACCCTTTTCAGGGTGAGTGTCGACAGTCTTGAATTCTGAATTCACACATTTTAAGTTAGTAATTCGTTTAAGTAAAGGGCAACCATCAGCCTTGCGGTTTGTCAGCCATTTTGAGATCTCCTGCTGCTCCGGATGTCCCAGGGCTCCCAGTGATCTGCTCTTTCAAGCGAAGCCATACCGAACATTCAGAAACCTCCGTTTTTTGCAGCAACGTTTGCAGCGAAAGTGCATCAAGTCATGACATATGAATCAGGCAGGCCCACGTCTTGCAGGTGTGGTATTCTTCTTTTTGATGGTTGTCTGGTGAGGTTAAACATTTTGTGCATCTAATTCGATGGAACTTGAAAGCCGTTTTATGCCCTTGTGGCTGACTTGACCACGGTTCCGGTGCAGGGAATAATCGCACGAATTTGTAGGCAGTTAGGGACTGAATCCTGTATGGGAAAATTCTTACAATCGTTCACTTTTGTTCTGATCTCCTGAAGCGATGCATCCGTGGAACACTCCGCCAACATCATGGCCTGCTCCACCGCAGCCTTCGAACCCATCTTCGACGTGGCAGCAATCAACACCGAATGCACATTTATTTGGACATCCCTCGGCTTTGCATCCTACATGGTCATCCTCAGCTTCGCTCATGCCGTCTACATCAACCCCCACATCGTTGCCGTTCACCTCATTGACTTCGGCTCCTCATGCAGTACCAGGTCCACAGCTAGTACCTACCATGCCTTCGCCTTTGGCTCCTGAACCAACTATGGTGCACACCGCTCCGTCGACTTTCCCATCTCCTATGGCACCCACCGCTCCACCCACGTGGGCTTCCCCTCCGGCTCCATCGCCTACATCGACTACACCACCTACATCGACTATGACACCGACGCCTTTGCCCAGTTCTCCATACCCACCTCACCACATTCACCCTCCATTACAGATGGACGCATCGACGGTCTCTCCAAATGAGCCTTCACCACGGCCCCCAGCAGTCAAAGCAGCTCCCAGGCATCGCCCTGACAAAAGACCGGATCGACCGCGCAGGCCAGCTCCGAAAACCCCTCCTCACGCTGCACCACCGGCACCTACGACAGCACCGACTTCATCCGTGTCACCTGAACTTGCATCCCTGGGTTCCACCGCACAACAACTGGCTGAATCTGTTCGACTTATTCAAGCTCAGCAACTATTAATCATGGATTCTCAACGGGCACAAGAACAACGTCAACTCCTTCTTCAACAAGATGAACCTCCACCGAATCCTACACCACCGATACCGCCACCTACACCTACACCACCACTGATCGCCACGCCTCCACCTGCACCGAAAGCCAGACCCACCGAACCGGACGTTCAGGACCATCGCATTGTCCCAGCTCCAGCCATCGCTTCTCCTCACCAACCACAAGTTCCACCACCACCAACACGCCGACCACGATCCCGAACTCCAAGATCACGTTCCCATCGACCTTCTGTACATTCTCATCGCCATCGCTATTCTCTTCCACGTGCAGAGCGACCTCGTTCTCCTCTCCCTCGTCATCGATCATCTACGAAACCCGACAAGGGCCGCAGAACCCCATCTCCATACAGACGACGCTCACCACCACGACGCCGCTCTCCTGTGGTTCCTCGACGTCATCGCTCCCATCCACGCCCACGCTCCGCGACACCACGCCACCGATCCCGAGGCCGTGAAGTCATACTTCGACCTGCTGCAAACCCATCCAATCCGAACTACATCCCCACTCCCGATGCTGATGACACCTGGGGTACATGGAACGAAAGCCACTACACCGACACCTACGACCACCACACTGCTCGACCCAATTCTCCTACCGATCCACCACCATCGGAACCACCAACCAACCCACCAACCCACACTTCAGCACCACTCGGCGCGGTGTCCTTCCGAGTTC